GTAAGGAGCTGAGGGCAGGAAAGATGGGGCGGGTTGAGGGCCAGCTGGGCTACAAAGCAAGTTCCTGCCTCTAAAGAAAAAAAAAAAATCTAAGTAGTGTGAGCCCACACCCAAGGGCACTTGTTGCTAATACAAGTAAGCTTCACATATAGACTGTCCCTGAAGTAGCAGTTTTAAATTTAGCTTAAATCTGAAAAACACATAATTACTTGGCACTCCAGAAAAACATGGAAGAGAGGAGCTGGAGGTTGCCAATTTGGCGCAATGTTTGAGGGCAGTATGAAAAGCCCCTTTTTGCCCCCCCCTTTTTCCTTTCTGGGGGCAGAGGGTGTCAAGGCTTGGAACCTAGCGCTTTGTGCAGACTGGGCAAGTTGCTCCATTCAACAGCTTGTTTCTCTGTCCTCTTTCCACAGGATGCAATTCAAAGGCCCGTAACCACTTTAACAACAAGAAACCTGAGCTGTGATAAGAAGTATCAAGAGATCTATTGTCCTGTTATGAGGCTGAATTATGAAAAGCAGGGTAGTCTTCTTAAAGAATTACATCAAAAGAGATTTTATCTTACACTAATGAATAGTAGAAAAGGGGAGACAAGCCAGGTTTGGCAGTGAATGTCTGTAGTCCCAGCTACATGGGAACCTGAGGCAGGGAGCTCACTTGAGGCTTATGAGTTTGAGACCAGCCCAGGCAACATAGTGAGACCTGTCTCAAAAAACAAAAACAAAAAAAACAAACTCCCAAAAGTATTGTGAAAAGGGGAGATGAGAGTGCATTATTGGCCAAGCACAACGTCTGGGTTTTTGGGGGGATAGGTAGAGCAGTACTGGGGTTTGATCTCAGGGCCCATATCTTGAAGGCAGGTGCCCTACCACTTGAGCTATGAGCTATGTCCCCAGCCCTTTTTGCTTTTAGTTATTTTTCGGATAGGGTCTCACATTTCTGCCTGGGCCAGTCTTGGACCATGTACCTCCTATATACATCTTGCTTGGACAGGATTGTAGATGTATAGCGACACAATCAGCTTGTTAGTTGAGATGGGGGAAGGAGGGTCCCATTAACTTTTTTGCCAAGGGCTGGCCTAGAGCCATGATCCTCCCAACCTCTGCCTCCTCTCCATGCCCGGCCACATCTGTTTTTAGTAGGCATTAAAAACAGTAGGCAGGGGTGGGGTGTAGTTTAGTGGAGGAGTGCTTAAGAATGGGCGAGGCCCTGGGCTAGATCCCAGCACAGACAATAATAAAACATCAGGCACTTACTGTCTATAAAGAGATTTACCTTCCCAGGTTTTATGAGTGGTAAATTGCAGTGTTTAACCTCCTCCATAGGAGAGGATAAATCATAGGGAATGCACTCTTTTTCATCTGTTTTCTACTTGAATTATTACAGAGAGCAGTTCATTTGATCTGACTCCTAAGGCATGCTTTCTTTCTTCTACTTATCAGATTAAGTTAAGTAGCAGGTGCTCAATTAATACTCTTTATTGAATGTCTCAGGTGTAACTTCAGATTTGGAAGAATGAGCGAATAATATTAATAAAGCAAAAATGTAATGCCTCATTCAAAATTTGTTCTTTGTGCATAAACTCATACCATATATATAATCAGTCTGCTTTTATGGTGACTCTGTTGCTAAAGGAGTTCAGGAAATACACCCCATTTCAAACTGGGCACACTTGAGGCACAGCAGGTGCAGGGAGGGCTTCCTCTGAGGTTCCCTTATCTAACTGAAGTCAGAGCCTCCAAATATCACAAGAGAAAGTGACAGACCCTCCTGTTCTGTAGAGAGCTGCAGGGAGGGGGGAAGGAAGTAACTGCATTACCTGAGAGACTTTTTACCTGTATCACAAGACAGCTGCTGCTCACTATACTCTTCTCCTCTCACTGTCCTAGAACCCAAGCCTCTGTCCCTTCCCCTAGCTAAGCATGCAGAAACACGCCAGCCATCTGGCACTTCCTCATGTCTCCTATTGCGTGTGGGCATGCCTGTAGTTAAAATGGGTTTCTTCCTATTAATCTCGTGCTGTTCATTTATTTTACAGCCTCAATTACCAAAACCTTTAGATGGAAGAGAGAACGTTCTCTACCTTATACGTGCTTTTATGTTATACAATCAACTTTTTTGGCCACCTAGGAATGACTTCATGAAGAAGAAGAAAACAAAAATGTTACTATAATATAAATGTAATCAAAAAATAATAAAGCAGCACCTCTCATTAGAGGAAAACTATCCTAGGGAAATGTCAGGCAAGTTTCTGAAATTCATAGGAGTTTTTCGTACTAAGGGTAAGTAATATAGAACACTACAGAATAATATTGAGAACACTAAAGATATTTGATTACTAAATATTCTGTATTATGCAAATAATATTTGTCTCCAATTAGCTTTTGTAGCAATTGTGTAAAAATGATTTATATCTTAAAACTTCACATCCTTATGATATCTATAAAATAGTGGTTGTTAGAATGATTGAAAGTCTCCAAATAGGATCAACAGTTTCTCCTTGAAATGCTCACCCAATAACCATGGAAATGTTCACACATGATAAAGGTCAGTTTCCAATTAACAACCTTCAAACGCATGTCATTTTCCAAATGTCACTTATTGACACAGAAAGTTTAAAAGCACTGTAGACAACCAGAACAAATTGTCTACAATTTTTCCTTTTATATTTTATCACTATTTCAATAGAATATAGTATTTAATAAATTTGTCTTGATTATATCATGCTCTTCTAAAAAAAAAATCATGTTTTGAAAAAGAAAATGGCTAAATACCAGCAAAATATTCAAGATTGGACAAGGTTTCTGGGATCTTTCATTCTGTATCATTGTTATGAACTGACTTACACCACCCCAACTCTCATACTGAAGAACTCTACTTTCAGCACCTGAGAATGGGACTGTATTTAGGACCTTAAGGGGAAATAAGGGTTAATGAGGTCATGTGGATGGGGCCCTTGGTCTGATGTCCTCAAAAAGAAGAGGAGGAAACATCTAGAACCCATGCACACAGAGGAAAGGTCACGTGAGGTATTCGTGAGAAGACTGACCATCTGCAAGCCAAGGATATCGTGAGAAGACGGACCATCTTGCCACAACCAACCCTAAAGGCATCTTGATCTTGGACTTCCAGCCTCCAGAACTGTGAGCACATACCATTTCTGTTGTTTAAGCGACTCAGACTGTGGTTTTTGTCACGGGAGACCTAGCAAACTAATATAATCACTCTTGGGTGGGAGGTCCCTAAAAATTCAAAGGTTGTGATAAGCCCACCCAATTCTAAGGAGAAGGTGTTAGATAAGGTAGCAGGAAGCTTATTAAAGTGGGGCTCTTGGACTTCCAGCCTCCAGACTGTGAGCACATACATTTCTGTTGTTTAAGCGACTCAGACTGTGGTATTTTGTCACGGGAGACCTAGCAAACTAATATAATCACTCTTGGGTGGGAGGTCCCTAAAAATCAAAGGTTGTGATCAGCCCACCCATTCTAAGGAGAGGTGTTAGATAAGGTAGAGGAGCTTATTAAAGTGGGGCTTTTCCCTGGCAAGTGAGGGGCATTAGAACACGACTTGGGAAGTTTAAAGACTTGAAAACTCATGAACAAATCTGAGATGTCGCAGAGAAGCTGGCTACGGGGCCCTGACTATCTGAAGGTCACCTCAGGAATCTGGGAGCTGTGGAGGAGAGAGAAGGTATAAGAAGGCACTGCTGACATTAGGGTCTTGGGGAGCTACAGATGAATCTTTCTCCCTCGTGGATGGCTAGGTGGGTGGTTAGCGTGATCTCCCAACGCAACCTCCCAAGTCACTGCTACCTGACTCATTAGTCAGCTTCCTGTCACTGTAACGAAATACCTGAGAAATGCTATATTAAAAAGTTAATTTTGGTGTGTGGTTTTGGAGTTCAAGTCCAAGACAGGGCAGCCCTATGGGCTTGAGCCTCTGGGGAGGAGGACACCTCTTGGTGGGAGTATGTGACACACATCGTAAGTGAGAAAGCAGACAAGCCCAGGTGTGTGGTTTTTGGAGTTCAAGTCCAAGACAGGGCAGCCCTATGGGCTTGAGCCTCTGGGAGGAGGACACCTCTTGGTGGGAGTATGTGACACACATCGTAAGTGAGAAAGCAGACAAGCCCAGAGTTCCACAGCTCCTTTCCGGGACACTCTCACTGACTTAAGGTCCTCCAAATGGATCTCACCTCTTAAAGGTCTATGGCACCTCCAAATGTGACCTTGGGAACAAAGCCTTTACGCACGCATCTCTGGGGAAGCTCGTCCAAACCACAGCACCTGGTATTTGAAAATGGTCTTGTACAAAGCCTCTCCCGCACCTTCCTCCTCATCCCATCTGGCCCACTGAGCAGGTGAACAGCAACCCAGCTGTCATAAAGGAGGGGGACTTCAACTACCATCCGTCTTGACCTGGTACCCGACACGGAGAAATGCATTCTCCTCTGTGCACTCTAACTTGGCAAAAACAAGGAAAGAAAAGGCTTTTCAGAGGTAAGTCATTTTTCTTACTGTATAGAGGGGAAGACCTTGAATCATTTAGTTTAAAGAGCAGGTCCTTCATTTAAAATTCACTTCCCACTCTAATCAAAAATCATTTTTGGCCTCACAGACACAATTATTTTAGGTTTCACTCTCACTTAGGAGAAAAAGAAACCACACTAGCTAGTGAGGCTTCCGGTCCCCAAAGGTCACTACTAACCATTTCGTCGCGATTTTGTAAGGAGAATTTATTATCTTGTTCTCATTCCTTCTGTGCCAGTCACTAGTCAGAACAGAATTTCTTCCACACCAAAGTGCCAGGCGTTTTTGATATGATGTTACCAAAACACTCTCTTGCCCATGGTCTCAGAAACTCCATTTACTCATTTGAGGTAGGAGATGAGGGCTTGGCACGAAATAGCAAGGTGGCTGTTGGGGAAAAGCCACCAGTATCCAGGTGTTTCTTTTAGGACTGGTGTTTTCACTGACGAGCAGAGCTGTGCGCGCACTCACCCTGGAAGAGCTGGATTAAGCGCGGCTGCACCGCGGCGGGGATCACGCGCTCGGGCAGCTCGCGCAGGAAGAGCTTCAGCAGGCTGGCGGCCGCGCTCACGTCCCCGACCTCCGCCAGCTCCACGCGCGCCCCGCTCTCCAGCTGGAGCCGCAGCTGCTGCACCAGCCTCGCGTTGCCGTTCACCCTGAAAAGGCCCTCCTGGGTGAGCCCTGAAACACCAGAATGGAGACAGCTCTCATAAACCATGCAAAAAACGAAGGAACAGCAACAGCAGAAGGTACACATCGCCAGCCAGGGTTCTCTGAACACAGCAAGTATCAATCATCAGAAGATTTTTGCATTTTATAAAAGTTTTCTTAGAATTGTAAGGTTTTTTTTTAAATTTATAACTGTTACTATTTTTTTTTATTGTTGTGCTGGGAATACATTGCAGCATTTACAAAAGTTCTTACAATGTATCAAATATATTGTACATGAATTAATTCTAGCTGGCCTCCATTCCTGGAATAGTTTCCACAGGGCTCATTTTTACATTTACATACATGTGTACACAGTGTTTGCTCCATACTCACCCTCCACCTTTCCCACCTCCTCTCCCCTCCCACTGATACCAACACCCCCAGGCAGGACCTGTTCTGCCCTCCTGTTCTCTGCTTTTGCAAATGAAACAAAAATATGACATCTTTGTTTGTTTAAGATAGCTACACAGGGAGTTTCCTTGCAACATTCCCATTTATATATGTATCATAACCCCAGCTGGTTCATCTCTTCCATTTTTCTTCTTTCTACTTTAGTCCCCTTCTTATGGTAGTTTCAACTGGTTTAAAAATTCTATATTCATTCTTGTATAGAAAGTACATCAGCCATATTCACCTTCTTAACTTCCTTCTTTTACCCTCTCCCTTTCCTATGTAACCTCCACTTAGAGTGACCTGATTTTTATAATATTGCTGTATCTATTTTAGGTCTATAATCTGCATTATGAGGGAGAACATGCAGCTTTTGGTCTTCTGAGCCTGGCTAACTTCACTTAAAATGATGATCTCCAGTTCCATCCACTTACTTGCAAATGACAAAATTTCATTCTTCTTCATGGCTGAGTAAAATTCCATTGTGTATAGATACCACATTTTCTTAATCCATTCGTCAGTAGTGGGGCATCTTGGCTGTTTCCACAGTTTGGCTATTATGTATAGTGTTGCAATAAACATAGGTGTCCAGGTGCCTTTGTTGTAACCTGACTCACATTCCTTCAGTATTTCATATCTACTGCACATCAGCTAAAAAACTCACATACGACTATTAGGCAAGGACCTCTAAAACAAGGCAATGCCTTGTACAGAGAACATATAACATTACACAAGGAAATTTCATTTATATAATCTTATACACTACACAACTGAAATTCACCTAGCATTCCAGAAGGTCTAGGATTTTATAAATAGCTATTTTTTTAATGACATGTGATAAACTTCTGAGCTCTACGTGATTGTTAGCAGAGTTTTGGGCTAAAAGCCCAAACTCCAGAAGTTCCAACAAACCAGGCTCAGCCACTCATCCCAACAGGACAATAAAGAGAGGAGAAGTGGCTCAGTGTAGTGTGTGATGATGTCAGGAAACAGACAAGGGGCATCAGTGAACCCCAAGTCTGTCTTCAGGGTACTAACATGAGCTTTACGTTTAAACAGAGGAAGAACTGGGGCAAGGGACCAGAGGAATGCAGTCTCAGTCAGTGATGTGGTATGATTGCTCCTTATTTCAGTTCTGGTCCTGCAAGATGGTTGGAAGAAGTCCTTATCACTGTGCCTTGGGGGTAGTTTCAGTCTCTTGTCATAAACATGTTTATCAATCAGCCCTATCTTCCCAGAATCCAAGATGACTGAAGGTTTAGGACAATGACTAGAGATTTTCAGGTGCCTTTTGGGGGGGCATGAGATGGGTTAGATTTTACTGGTTTTCAAACAAACACTCCTTCAGCAATTAACCTGCCTAAGTGCAGAGTTAAGCAGGTGTCTGACCCAGTGTTTTACCATAAAGGAGACAGATGCAAAAGGAAGTCAGCATGCTAGCTTTTCTGCTCTTAGGTAACTTGTGGGCCCAAACGAGGAACCAGTGCTCTTTTTAGCAAAAGCAGCTTCTAGGTATATTTGTAATAATTTAAGAAATAACTAATACTTCTTCTATAGTTAGGAATCACTCGATCTAAAATGTAAGACTCTATGAGAGTACAGAGGGGTGTAAGATCCTTGCTTCAGTCAAGGACATTGGTGGCAGTGAGGTAACAGGGAATGCTTCATGAAGGACCTTAACCTTGGACTAAAGCATAGGCAACATGGACGGAGTAGGGCTGATATACAGTGATACTAATGAAGCTTGACCTTCAGACCCTGGCTATGGTTTAAGTGTCTTTTCCCTCCAAACTCATGTTGAAGTTTCACTGCCAATGGAATGGTATCAGGAGGTGAGGTCTTGATGTGATCATGGGTTCATGCCATTACTGTGGGAATGGGCTTGTTTGAACAGGTGAGAGCACACCCCTTCCTTTACTCTCCCTCACTCCCCTTCTGCCCTGTGAGCATGCTGCAAAAAGGCCCCAGCCAGATGGCAGCCTGGGACTTCCTGGCCTCTGAAACATTTCTGTTCGTCATAAATTACCTAACTCTCAAGTATTCTCTTACAGCAGCGCTAAACGGACAAAGACAGGGCAGGTTGCTTTCCTGGACCCTTAGCAAGCTCTGACCCTAATTCTGTATTATTGTTATATTTTCTTTCTTAAAGAGGTCTCAAAGGATTGCAATAGTCAGGATGGTCAATGTCCCCTGCATGTCTATAGTCTTAGTTCCCAGAAAGGTTGTATCAGGAGGTACCACAGAAGTTTAGGAGACAGGGCCAGTCATTGAACCTTAGGTCACTGGGGACATGCCACCAAAACGAACTGTGGGACCCTGGATCCTCTCTTTTTTCTTCCTGGCTGATGTGAACAATTTTGTTCTACCACATACTTCTTCCATGGCATGCTACCTTGTCAGAGGTTCAAAGCAATGGAGCCACTTACTCTTGAACTGGCACCTCTAAAATCATGAGGAAAAAGTCCTTTTTCTCCTTAAAAATTAATTGCCTCAGCTATTTCATTATAGTGAAGGCTGACAAATGCAAGCATTAAGCATCAGGATTCAACAAAACCTTGATCTACCCTTGACAAAGAGGAACAAAAATATAAATTGAGCCAGAGACAGGAGAGCCTACAGTAAGGTAGGCAAATGAAAATGTGGGATACTGCCAGGTGTGGTAGTGCACACCTGTAATCCCAGCATTTGGGAGGTTGAGGCAGGAGGATTTTGAGTTTGAGACCATCTGGGGCTACATAGTGAGTTCTAGGCCAGCCTGATCCGCACAGTAAAACACTGTCTTATGTTATAAATGATATAATTTCTAATCTGTGTTATATATATATACATAGGTAAAATGTATATATATTATCAATCTATCTATCTGTATGAAGAAAAAGAAGGCGAAAGAAAGAAAAAATATGAGGTATTTAGGTCAAAGAGCAATGGGGTAATGGATACGAAAGGATAGGGCCTATGAGTGTCAAGGTAAAAAATGAAGACTCAACACTGGAGCGTTAGGCTTTAAGGAAGACTTAGCTAGCTCCCAAGCAGAGAGTGGTGAGGGCAGAAACATGCCTTGGGAAGAGTAGGGCCCTCTGTCATGAAGCAGTAAGATTGAGATTACAGTGGAAATGGAGTGAAGGAGAGATTAAAATGATTGGGTAAGTTAGTACAAAAGGAAGTTAAGGAGGCAGGGAGAGGTGAAAGGTTACTATAAGGGTTGAGAAGTAGAATCCAGGCGAAACCACTGAAAAGAAGTGAGGGGGTGGGAACTGATTGCCAGCTCAGTGTAAGAAGTGTGTCAGAATGTGGAGGAGCGTTGAAGGTATAAGAAACAACTGTCTTTAGAAACTGTATTTTAGGCCAAGGACAGAACCCTCTTCTGAGAGTCTAGTGGTATGTGTTAGCAAAGACACAGTCACTGAGGCCAACCGGGCTATTCTAGAGGGGAGAGGACTGTGTTTTTGCTTCCTTCTCTTGCCTGTTAATCACGCTGTTCTTTTAAGCAAAAGAGGAAGCTACTTTTTTATTTTAATTTATAACTTGATAAAATACCTTATGGACCCTTTTATTCAATAAATATTTAATGAGTGCCTAATATAGAACTATGTTACTTAAAAAAATTTTTTGAAAAAAAAAAGATTCAAACACTATCATTACCCTGATGGTGTTCATGGTCTGATGAGATGTTTGTGGTCACCCACAAATACCTATTACTTGGCTGTGAAGAACATCAATATCAAAAGTAGACAAGAATTTGAGATCTAATTTTGACAAAAATTGTGAAACCAGAAATGATACTGAAACTATCTAGGGGGAAAAAAAAACCAGGGCAGCATGGGAAAAGATGTATTTTTGAGGACAGTGATTGAATGAGAACTCTGGAAATAGCAAGGAAGTGATAGGAACCCTAAACAGCAAAGAGAGGAGGAACAGCAGCCTAGAGGAAAGAACAAAGCAAACTGCAACCTTAGCCCTGACTCCTGGGATCGGGGAGTGGAGCTGTACACTGTAGGGGGGGTAAGCAGAAAGTGTCGTGTAGGCAATTCCATGGTAGCAGCAGACTGGCAGCCCTAACAGCAAGAGTCCCATGGTCCTCATAGACTCCAAATCCAGGTTGAGGAGCAACTGTTCTGCTCCAAAGAAGGAGCTGCCCTAACCTCCAGAACCCAAGCTACAGCAGCCACTGTTAGATGCCATCTTGTCTTAGGGACTGGCAGCCAGCCCACTGAAGCTGTTAAAAGCCATGGGCTTATAAGCATCTCACCAAGTAAAAGACAGCCTCTCTAGTGTCTTGTAGCCTCAGGACCAGCAACTGCCACAGCTACAAGCCTGAGTCCCACCTGCACTTACCTTGAAGGAATGAGGGAAGGTCTCCTTCCTAGCCCACAACCCTTGAGACTGTAGCTCCTGGTGCAAAGTCCCAGTTTCACCCATGTCTGCCCATTAGGAGCTGAGAAAGGTGTCCTACAGCTCCAGGAACTTGGCTACCAGAGGCCCCACGCCCTGGCACCACCTACACTGGCTCTGTGGGAAATAGAAAAGGCCCTGCTTCCCAGCCCACAGCCTTTCAACAGAAGCTGCTGGAGCAGAAAGCT